TATAACTAGTTATCGTAATCATTATCATTATCGTTATCGCTTGTGTAGTAATTATTTATATATTTATAATTATATTTATATTGAATCTTTTGAGGGGGAGAAACCTTTGAAATACAYACACATATACAATTTAGTTCTTATTAAGTAAGTAACATAAACAGTTACAAAAGTCGGCTACTCTGCTGTTATCAAAAGAACTAACATTACGTCTGTTAGGCTTGTAACATTTCTGGTTTTGGGGCAATTATGCGCGGCATGATGTGGGGCCCGGGGAGCTGTTTGGGGTCTGTGAGTTGAATGGATGGGGGATGGGGAGCGCGTAATTGTAGTGGAAGACTTCCGCTTAAAATGTAGATAGTTATTAATGAAAATAGTTATTTGTTTTCGAGTTTGATTCTTGCTTCGGCTCGATTTTCATTTCAATTCAACTTGCTTATTTACGATTAAATACTTATTGTTTATTATGTATATATTTGTATTTTAAACTTTTACATTCAACTATAACAGAGACACGTACGATTAGAAGTTAAAAATTTGGTTAAGCAATTTGATTTAATGCAACTAGAAATTATGCTAAATACATGAACTACTTATGTTTAGGTTTACTTGTCGTATATTAACTGGCTGTTCACAATAAATCTGAAAAAATTCAACTTTTGATATACTATGCTGCATTATGAGTCTAAGATATATGTAGATTTCATTTAAACTACAATAAGCAAAAAATGTAATATATATCTACGTTTGAAATACACAATAATTAGTTAATTTCTTCATAATTTTCTCTCTGATTTTGTTAGGTTTTACTTTTATTTACTTATTTGGGTTTACAATGAAACAGTTATCATTTAAACCTTTCAGTCATTTTTGTTGGTGCCGTTCCTTTAAACTAACTAAATTAAAGTCGAACAATCGAGTGTATTTTTATTTATTTTTCTTAAGTTTTGTTTTGTTTGGCTTAAATGTTCTTAGCTTATGCCAATAAATTCATTAATGAATATATATACTTTGAGCTGATTGGCTACAGGCATTGGGTTTGCTTAGTCCTGAACCAAATGCAAAGTGATTAAAGAATAAAATAAATAAAAGAAAGCAAAAAAAAAAAAAAAAATAAAATAAAAATAAAAATAAAAACACTAAAGCCAAAGCAACTGCTGCACACAGATGATTCAATTAGCCAAACTCGATGTTTCATGAATATATAAATATGGATGCGGTGTACGAGTGTGAGTGCATAAATGCCTATTTATAGTTTATTTGCATGTTTATCAGTTATCGTGCTTTATTAATACTTTTAATGGACGTCGTAATGGCCGAGGTGGCCCACACTGTGAGAGACGGTTGCCAAAATTGCATCATTCAACTGCACTTAAATAATTAACCTTGGACAGACTCACGCCTCGCTGGAGATTGCTGGCGAAATTCATTTTAAAATACCAAATATACCGTAAATACGTAAACTGTAAACAAAGCCAAAAGTTTTGGCCTTTATGAGCATGCAGGGGCCAAGACTGAGGGCGAGACTGAGACAGAGATAGCGGCTATGTAATTTGGCCGAAACGAAAGTGATTTAATTCCCATATCGTTGGCAACAAAGCGCTAAGCCGCCAACTTAATTATGACTGGCAGGTATTAGCAATTGAATCACAAATAAACATGCAATACATTTTTGTTCTGGGCCCCTAAAAACCAATAACTGTAATGAAATATTTGGTGCAAAGCTCTCGGCCAACTAAATTTCAGTTTCAATTAAATACTTCAGTATGCGAAACGCTGATTGCCGCGCAATTTGCTTAGCTTAGTCGCACTCTAAATTGGTATATAACTATTCAATATAGTGAAGCAATTAATTTTGATGGAAATTTGCAATTACCAATTACAAATTCAAATTCAAATTAAAATTTTTTACATTTATCGCACTTTAAACATTAATTTGACACTGACAAAGCGCGAAAAAAGGCAAAAACAAAAACAAACAAAAATTCAACAAATATTTGGCTAAATGAAATTATTCATTTGAATTTTGTTCTTGCTTATATTTTTCATCTAACAAACAATCGAATGCTAATTAAGGCACTGAAAACAATTGAAGTGTGCCCAGCTTTTGCATAAAAAGCGCGCATAATTGAATTATATGCATTAATGCAAATGCTTTTGCAGTACTTGACTATTTTTTTTTTTTGTGTTCAGTGTTTGCGCTGCATTTAATTTATGCTAATTGCACTATCAACCATAATTTTAATTCGAATAAGTGCGCGTAATTGTGTGATAAAGTGTCAATACGCTCAGAGTTGACATTTTTGTTGAAAATTGTTAAAAACAATGCGTAAATCGAATTGCTTTTCGATGAAATTTAATGAAAAATTTTTGATAAGGTTTTTAATCAGTAATAAAGAAATGGGAGTACTTATCGAGTATTGGAAAGAAAGTCAATCTGTGCGTGCAATATACGGACTTACAAAATGAATTTCAAGTCTCTAGCTTATTTAATTTCTGGGATCGTCGGGCTTAGACATACAGAAACACGCGTTAAACGTACGAATGGATAGACAGACAGACAGATGAACAGGGCTACATTGACTTAGCTCATCGTCCTCATCAAGAACATATATACTTTGTAGTCTCTATAAGCTGATTTTCCATTTTTAGTGGGTTCACATTATGCATCCCAATGTCCTCTCTAGCAGAAGGTGTACTAAACCCTATCATAATGTAAGGTGGTGGTTGGAAAGGCTTCTTTAACAAATATTAAAACAATGGAAACATTAGCCTATCCATTCTAAATAGGATGATGATTAAAAACTGAAGTTGATTTATATATAATTTTATATATAATTTTCTTGAATGAATTCATTCATGTTTGTAATAATATAATGCCTGTCATACAGGCATACAGCAGTCGGTCAAGCCTGACTAAAATGCTAACTGATTTTTCGTGTTGTTGCCGGTCGACACATAAATCGCAAATGAATTTCGATGTCCCAGCAAAAACCAAAGTCAGCTAAAGAAATGTGTTGCAGCCAGCGTTTGGCATTCATCCTTGCTGTGTCGCACCTAAGTGCAGTTAAGTGCACTAGGCGTGTGTGTGTGTGTGTGTGTGTGTCAGTGGCATACATTTAAATGTAACTGTGGTTGCCAGCTGCACTCCTACGGCTCCTGCCTTGCCATCGATTTCAATTGTTTTCGATGCGAGCTTTTACCCACAGCCATTTGATGTTGTATTTGGGATTTGTTGTTGCTGTTGTTGTCGTCCCTTCATTTTGTTGAAATTGTCATTTAAGTGCAGTTGCTGTACACACCGTTGTTGCTGACAATCACGCTGTAAGTCTGTGTGTGTGCGTGTCATAAAAATTGCATGTTGATTGGAAAGAAAAGCCCTTGTCCTCACGCCCATAAAAAAAAAAAAAAAATAAATAAATAAATAAAATGTTTGTTTTGTTGTTTGATTTCTTGTTGGTTTTCGGTAACTGACAGATTTGGCTGGCGCATTATTTATGAGCATCTGAACAATTTAAAGTCGGCTGGCACTTAGCCTGCGTGTGCCCCAAAATAAATGGCCTGGCCAATAAATCTGATACATTTGCGGTATGTGCTGAAAGCCGAGCAACGACGAGAGCTAAAAGCAGCCATAAATTCAAGACATGGAACAAGCCGATTACATCTCCCAGAGACACGCATCTTAAATTTAGGTGCAACTAACCGCAAAGTGTCTGAAATATGAAAAACTCATGTACATAGCTGCTGAAATTTATGCATAGTTCTCTATGCCTTTGCTCTTGGCCATAGAGAACATGTTTGGGGAGTATAAATGGGCCTCATGCCAAAACATTCGTTGCCTTCAGTTTTATGCTCCCTCTCTCTCTCACTCTGACTGTCCGTCTGTCTGGCGGAATGACGTGTCGTTTATTCCTGCGACTGGCGCATGCATTTGCTGATGCACAGCCAAAAATGTAAAAGATGAGAGAAAAAAACCAAAACAAAACAAAACAAAACATCGAAAATTATGGCATCTAAAGTGGTAGGGAGGCGTCTATAGCACATCTGTGCATGCCCATTAGTTGTAGCTTTTTGTGGCTATTCTTCTATCTCTGTATAAAATATCTCTTACTGTGTGCCATATGAAATGACAGCGTCTGCTTTGCGAGTGTTTGTGTTATTTGAATTATTTTAACACTTAGGCGCCTTTCAGCAAAATGGGCCAAGGCAACCTAAACAACAGCATCAAAGGACTGAATGGATGATGATGATATCAACAAACTTATAGTGCCAGAAACTATACTGTGACTTTTCATCAGTCACTCGAAAATTGAATTGCCATGGCTAGAAACTATATCTAAAATTTAACTTTTAACTATGTGACTGATTTTAAAATTATATATTATTTCTAAATTTAACTCTTAGCTAATTTCTGAAAAATTAACACTGTGCAAATATTTGTCGTTGCAGCAATTAATCAATTTAAAAATTAATTTAATTTAATAAAATAGCTAAGCTGATTTGCATAGGCAAAAAGTGTGACRCTTCTGGTTGCTCAGAGAAACATATTTTAAATGAATTTTTATGGTGAGCCGCAGGGTGAGGCATAGCATGAGGCACGCACAGATTAATTTGATGCACAGCATCCATCCATCCAGTCAGATCGTCATGTATTCGTTGACATTTACTTGACAGCCAAACTGAATGTTTTCGTGCTTTGACCCCAATTCGTGCTGCTGTCTTTCTTCTACTTCTCCTCCTCCTTCTTCTTATTTTTCACCTGACCACGCTGACACATTGAGGCAAAGCTGAGTGAGTTTTCAGCCCATTTTCGGCATTAAAATGCAGCCGCAGTTTGTGCTCTTGGAATGGAAAATTTGTGCAATAATATCAAGTTGAATGGCCATTGAGTGTGCATAAAAGATGTTTGCTGAGATGAAGCTTGTGTTTGCATAGCTCGAGGGCTTTTCTCGGTTGGATGAGTGAGTTCATGTCTGTGAGCGTGAGTGTATGTGTGAGTGTGCAGCAGCTGTGGTTCAAGTTCACAGTTGAAAATGAAACTAAAAATTGTTGCAAAATTGAAATTGAGAGATTCCATCAAATTCACAGCCGTTCATTGCTTTTGACATGAGCTACAATGTTCGTTACCTTAAAGCAAAAATTGAATCTTAATAACAGATGATTAACTAAAATAAGTCACAAAAACTGTTGAGCTGAATAGTGAACTTAATATGCTTAGAGAATGATACCCCGTACTGGTAGTGGGTGGAGGGTAGAGGGGCATGCCCCCATAAACCAAGCAAAACTAACGCCTGTAATGCTGATACATGCCGTGCCCATAGCCCATGGGTGTGCTGCCCATGGCACGTTCGGTAGCCTTCTCGATGCTCGCATAAACGCACCTGTAACAGCACACGTAGGCCAAACATCACTTGAACAGGATGCGCCGGAACGCGCGTCGGAAGTCCTTGTTGAATATGGTGTAGATGGCCGGATTCAGCGCCGAGTTCATGTAGCCCAACCAGAAGGCAATCGCAAACGCCGACTCCGGTATATTGCAGTGATTGCTACAGGCGGGCACAAGGATATACAGAAAGAAGAACGGCAGCCAGCAGGCGATGAAGCTGCCCATGATCAGGCCCAGTATGAGCGTGGCCCGCTTCTCCTTCTTGCGTGCGATGCGTCGCTTCTCCTTCTCCGGATCGCGGGGCTTTGGTGTTTTGGGTATGGCCGGCTCGAGCTCGGTTTTGGCGGCTAGCTCCTTCGACTTGGACGCCGCCGCGGCGTTGTTCTTGGCCGCCACGGTGGCTGCCTTGGCCTCGTTGCGGCGCTGCTGGTTCGCTTTGCGGCCGAAGATGGGCTGGCAAAGGCGAAACTTGAGCGGCTTAACTACCGCACAGCGGCTGACCACGCCCGAATCCGAGCTGGAAGGATCGAATTCACTCACCATATCCGTGTCCACGCCCACTGAGAGGGCACGACAGCGTCCGGCAACGGGCGAGACGCGCAGCTCGTTGCTGGTAGCCGTGCCAGCACCACCACTAGCACCACCGCTCGCTCCACTCGCTGCAGTCGCCCCACTGTTGCCCGCCAGCGCGTTGGCTCGAGCCACGCCCTCGCTGGCCACGCACCCATTGTTGTTGTTCAGCACGTTGATGGAGTTGTTGCTGCCCATGGACGGCGGCACGGGCACATTGAGTCCGATGCCACGGCCCGTGGCAATGGTGCTGACTTGCAGTGTCTCCTTCGGCGAGCAGGGAGCACTGCCTAGCGCTGTGGCTGAGCCGGAGCCACCATTGGGATTAGCATAGGCCAGCACCGTCTGGGCGGCCACGGCCTCCAGCTCGCCGGCCTCCGAGGTGGATATGTCCGAGGCCAAGTCCATGGTGACTGTCGGTATTTGCATCGGCATCGTCGCGCTGTTCGGTGGGGTCTCAATGGTGGCTATTTGTCGCTGCTGGTGCAGCTGCAGCTGCGTGGCGCCGCTGGAGGATGGCATCGGTATTGTTCCTTTCTTGTTGGCGGTGGTGAAGCTCGTTACCTGCAAAGAAGATGGGGAAAAAAAGAGTTGTTGTTGTTGTTGTTGCTGTTGTTGCTGTTACACGACATTCGCATTTCGAAAATCCGATTTTAAAGCCCGTGTAAGGGCACGTCGGAGGCGTCCGAGCGCAATGATTACACAAACAAGCATGTGAAACACCCGATGCTTCGCACCGTCGGGCCCGGGGCAATTAACAGCGGCCGAAATGCACAGGACGCGCGTGCATCAGCCTTAATCTGTGATCTGAGAGGCAGCTGCTAGCTGACACATAGGGTCTTCTTTGTTTGCCCGAATCGCTGGTGGTCAAGTGTCGCCGGCCGTTGGCCGTTGGCCGTTCGCTCAGTTAATTGAAAATGCAAATTGTGAATGAATTGGCCTTAATTGTGTTTCGCTCGTCCATCTGCTTCACCTTTGGCTCCGGGGCCGGCTCTGTAATTTGTAATTTGGCCAGGTAACGATGGTTACGCTCGCCCAATGTTCGATCATTAGAGATTTTGGTACCCAATCAGCGTAACTTTGCTCAATGATTTGGTCTTTATGTCGTTGCCATTTCGTGAAATGACGCTGCACAATGGCGCCGGCGCTGCAGCAAACTGAGCAAATGGCGGAACGTGGCCAAGTGCAGCGGCCAAAGTGCTGAGCGATGCTTTTGCAGTCAACACGTAGCGCACAAATTGGTGTATAATTTAAGCAAAGCGTGTGAGCCACTTGCTTAACGCTTTAATGCAGGCCGCCGCTGAGTTCGAGTGCAAAATATTGCGCATACGCCACATATGCCGGTGGAAAAATTTCGTTGCATCAGCTGCCACGCTGCGAGCACCGCCTTGTTCATTCAAATGGCAAAATTTGCATTTACTGTGCCCGCCGCCGCCCCCTCACTGCGGCTCCAGCTCAACTTATCTGACGGACCGTGCGTAACAGGCATGAATTAGCCGCCCATCCTCAATGGGAGACCCATTGATCGGTGCAGTGTAAAGGTTGCAGCTTAATTGCAATCTACCAAAGTACTACTCACTCACACCAACTAGCTGCACCGCCACCTGCTGGCCATTCTCCGCTATTCATTCCACTCACCTGTTCGTTGTTTGTTTTGCGCGGATGTTTTTTAATGCCGCGTCTCGCTCGCGCCTTCGCGGCAAAGTAGATTCGTATGTACACAAAGACCATTATGCAGCTGGGTATGTAGAAGGAGCCCAGCGCCGAGTATAGCACATAGCCAATGTCCTCACTCAGCTGCAAGTAGATAGAAAGAGAAAGAGAGAGAGTGAGAGAGAGAAATATTCAGATTGCATTTATTTTGCTCTGAGTCATCATGCATTAAGAAATCTCAATAAATGTAAGCTTAGTAATATATATTATAATAAAAACATAAATATGCTGATTATACTTATATATATGCATGTGTATGTGTGTATAAGATTCTCTGCCAAATGAGCTGCAGACAGCCGCAAGCTTTAATCTCCCTCTTCTCATTGGTTTCATGTTTTCATAGTTTTAGTTTTATATTGAGCAGCGTTGTAAAATATTTTATATATACATATGTACGTATATATATTTGCAGATTGCTTGATTATATCGTTAGTCGAATGCTTTGATGTACAGTCAGTTGATTGCATTTGAGCAGCTCAAATTAAATCGACTGTCGCTCGATTGCTGGCAGTGACTGTGGGTGAGCTTTTCCTTTTCCTTATCCACTTAGATAGTTTTCGACTATTTGGAGCATTCTTTGTCATTATTTACTTATTGAGCGCTTTGGACTGATTTACTCTGCAATTGCATTCCATGCGATGGCAGCGGAAAATCCTTTGTGAGTTGCTGCCGTGAAAAATTGTTGAAAAATGCAAAGTGCACGAATTGCAGAGGAAATTTCATAACGCTAAATGAAGTAAAAATATGAAATTACGCCACATAAAAGCTTTGACAGCGCAATAGCTCTGGGCCTCGCCATGGAAAGGCCGTGGAAGGGCCGTGGAATGGCGGAAGCTGCAATGGCCGGGTTCCTTGCCAAAATGAATGCCATATTTCTCAGTAGCTGGTTGCACTGCGCTTTCCTTAAGCTGACGGAATTAAATGGCGCCCAAGTTTCTGATCTCTGCTGCAGTTGCTGCAGTTGCTGCTGTTTGCTGTGGCTGGCTGATTTGTTTGCGCTGCGAAACACCTCGCAAAATTATGCAAATTAAGTGCTCTGATGAAAAGCATGGCAAAGAGAAAAGCGCAGCTCAAGTGCCACCTTAAGCAACGTCCCGGCATTATTCTCCGTTGTTACTGCTGCTACTGCTGCCACTGTCTTACATAATGAAAAGCCATTCGAGTTGCTGTTGCAACTCGCTGCTCACTGCGGCCTGATGGAAGTCTGGCATAATTTTGGCCAGCTGCTTAGACTGCAGGTGCGCAGGAATCGGTAAACAATTTATGATGGCAAGCCATCTATATATATGTATATATATATATACATTTTATTAAAGATGTGCCATATCAGCGCGGGCTGAACTAAACGTATACAGCGTGTAATCCGCTTAGGGGGCAGCAAAATTGAATTTGTTGTTGTTCTAGACGAAGCCTTCTGGCTGAGCCCACGGCTCAAGCATAGCTCGGTCTTATCGTAAGCCGCCGCAGCCGGCAACTGCATTGCTATATAAACTTTGCTCAGGCTTTATTTAGTCTACGCGGCCGACGAGCGCAAAAATACATTTCACTGCAACATCCTCGGAGCTGGCGTCTCTCGGTCTGCACAAGTTGCCGCAACAGCATAAGAAGAAAGTATTAAGCGTCGAGTATAATGCTGCCGAAATGTATATACATATGCATAAGTGTGTATGTATGTATGTATATGTGCATGGCAGTGCATTGTGGGGCAGTACATCAAATGTCAGGCGGTGTTGTGTCAGCCGTGTGGCAGTGGCAGGGGCCAACAGCCACTTAAGCGAGCTGGCTGACTGCTATTTGCAGCTTATTGCCAAGAGGCAGCAAACGTAAGTCGATGTTGCTGCAGTTGCTCTTTTGTTGGCTTGGCTGCTGCACCGGCAACATAATAAATCGTCTCATCATTTACGGTTTACTGTTGATATATTGACGGCATTTGTCAGCACCCCCGGCCAGTTGGCCCAGCCACACACACACACACACGCACACATACATACTTGTGTCAAAGTTTAAGCTGTAGTTAAAATTTTCTGGCTGTGTGGCACTTAAAGTATCATTTGCTCTAAGCTCAGTCGGCTAGCTAAGCGACACCTCATAGATGAGCTGCTAACTTTGGTATAGGCATACAAGTTACGCATACGCCGCGTGCGCCCGGCTGCTGGGGCACGTAATCTCAGAGGCGTCTGGCACAGCAGGTCTTGCTGTATCAGCGAATTTGGACAAATCTCTTTTGGAACTAAATTGACAACTGGCAACTGGCAACTGGAAAGCTGCAACTTGTTAGTTGCAACAGGCGAGCTGCGTGAAATAAATTGTCAACGGTGCGTGTTGCCAACTCCTGCAAAACGGATTTAATGTAATTGGAAAGTTTGCTCGCCTTGCCATTTGCGCATTTTCGAATTTTCACATCTTCGCAGTTTCAAATTTCTTGGATTTCTTTTTTCCTTTATTTTATTTATTTTTTTTTTTTTTAGTTTTTTTTTGTTTTATCCTCCACGTTTTCTCGGCGCTGCATTTGCGCTAATTTGCAGATTCTCAAATTGCGCTCGGCGCCTTTGTTTATTTAAAAGTTCTTTTCGCTTGGCCGTAGCCGGCGCGGGCAAAGTGAGAAGCTGCGCAAAGAAAAATAATTATTCTGCAATTTTTAATTAAATGGCAATGGAAAGTGCTGCCGTTATTGTTGTCTCTCGTTGTCCCGTTGCCGTTGCTGTTGCTGCTATGCTGAGCTTAAGCTGCTGGAAACAAAAACTCATTATGGGCGACCAAAATCATTAGGAAGCCCGGGCGTCGCGTCGAAGCGTCGCAAAGCTGACAAAAGCACAGCTGATGGGCGCTGCGAGGTGCGCTGCGAGGATGACGCGAATCCAGTGCGGACTGCGCAGCGCATAGTGTGTTGATGGAAGCGTACAATTTATTGAAATGTAAACATGCAACAACAGCAGCACACTGAAATGACTGTAATTAAAAGATAAAAATGTTGTCCAGGCGCCACTCAGCAGCCAACAGCACGTACCACGTGACGTATGAGTAACGCCTGGGTCGGGTGCCCGCATTTTTTCAAACCAAATCGACTGCCCGCTTAAGTGTGTGCGTGCGCATTTAAAGCTTGTCTGTGGCAAATACGTAAAGCACAAAATCGCTATATATATGTATATATTTATGTACATACACAAATATGTCTGTTTGTAATAAGGCAAAAATTTTGCTGTAAACACAAAAGAATTTCAATCCGAATCGTTGCTGAAAGTTTGCACAAAACAAGCGCAAAGCAACAACAGCAAGAAAAAACGTGAAAAGGATCAAGTATATGTGTGTGTGTCTGTGTTTGTGTGTGTGTCTGCAGTAAAAAGTGCGTCTTGCTACGAGGACGCCAGCTCGCTCTGCCATGGACCAGGGCCTGAGGCCTGGGGCTGGGGCCGAGCGCTTGTCATCATCAGCATTGTCAGTCGCTTTGCTGCTGTTGTTGCTGTTGTTGTTGTTGCTGTTGCAAGTTTTTTATAGTATAAGCCAAGACATGATGTTGACGTTGAACTGGCACGACTGCAACAGCAGCAGCAGCAACAACAACAGCAACAGGAGCAGCAGCAGCAGCAGCAGCAGCAGCAGCAACAACAATAACAGCAGCAGCATCGAAGCAGGACAGCTGGACCCACAAGGCCGGTGCTGTTGAAACAATCAATAAATCTTAAGTGCGACTTCTGAGACTACAATTTGCAGTTTGGTTGCCAAAGAAGGAAAGGCGCGCAGCTATTGCTTGCTTTTGACAATGTTGTCAGTGCTCGAATACGAATGCCACGCCTCCAGCCGCCCTGGTCGCCCAGCAATGTCTGTCGCTGTTGCCATTAAGTTTAGCTTCTGCCGTCTTTGCTCCACCTATTTGCATTGGCGCTCAGTGTTTGTCGTTGCTCAGTGGAGCAAGCATTTTGCTAGCTTGCGCTGCCAATTTGCCTGGCTGGCAGTTCCTTTCGCTTTTGCACTCGACTTGACTTGCACTTGCATTTAAATTGACTGCATTCTTTTTGCCACCCCTATATATATGTATGTGTGTGTGTGTGTGTGTAGTTAGCCAACTGACCACCCACCAGTTGGCATCGAAATTGACTTCGTTTCCCTTCGCGCTCTGCACATTCCTTTCAATGGCCCCCAATGAAAAGATTGCAGCCGAAAACTTAAAGCCGAACATTAATGTTTTACGGGCCAATATAAAGTCGGTGAATGCCAAACACGCGCCTCTCTGGCCGACAATTAAACGTAGCCAAATGACAAAAATTCAACAGATGCCCAACAGATAATGAGTTTTGCGGCCATAAGCTCTCAAAAGATAAAATGCGCTAAAAAAGTGAATTTCATAAGGCTAACCCAACTATGAGTTGAGCTATAATCATATCTTATATTATTAAAATAAATATATAAACCATTAGATAAATAAAT